CAAATGCACTTTTGACTGGTATGAAGGAAGACACTGGTGAGAAAACCTTCACTTGAAAAATAAAATGAAGGATCAAATGAACAGATTACCCCTTCCCCGCAGAGTGAAATCAGAATGATCTGCAAGTGTTTTTACTCCATAAGGCAGAGCAATAGTATAGATTAATTCTGATCTAGCAATCAGGTTTTTTAAGACAGATAAATAGCCACACCCTTTTTCACTGTGACCTGTAGCAATTGTGTATGAAGGTAGCATTTTCATTTCTTGATAAAACTTTGCAACGTGATTTCAAGGTATAATTTCTTTCACAAAATATTCATCCCAAAGAACAGGCCAATCGAATACTCCTCTCTGCTGCTAATCCTAAAGACTACTGCTAATCCAGGATGGGCCATTCCTAAAACTTACATTCATCAAAATACCTTCTCAGGTAAAATATTTTCCTGTTTGGGAGAATGGTATTTTTGTTTGATTCCTATCTAGATAGAGATCTTATAAGAATTTCTTTATTCTCTCTAGTAATCCTTTCCCTATACACCTAAATGATTTCCTGCTCTTGCAAATTAAAGAACAATTGTGAAAAATTCTTGTACTATCTATATCATAATGTCTCCCCAATATTATAACATCCCCATTACACATAAAACATCATGTTGAAACACATAGTGCCTGCTCCACACGCCACAGTCCCTGCAGCTGTCCTTTCATAGTGCTGTGTTTGTATAGCTGTTTTATTTATCTTTTCCCCCACATGTCCCATGAAGTTATGTAGGGTTTCTGTCTGTTTTGCTCAATTCTTAGCATCATGATGGGCCTCAATAAATATTTAGAGACTGAACGAAAGTCCTAGAGAAGAAAAACATCATAGCTCTCCAAACTGAGAAAGGAAATGAAACATGAGAGTTTATGAAATCAAATGTGAACCATGTCCCATTCTATTTCTTCCATAGCAATATCTTCCTCTGCTTTGGTCAGCATGACAATGATTCTCCTTACAGACTCACAGAACTGGAAGAATGGCGCCACTTTACTTCTAATTCATCCATAGTACCTATGAGGGAGGACTATTAAGACTCCCAGTGTATAGATATAAAAATTGTGCCACATAATTAACCCAGTACAGAGATGGAATTTGAAGCAAAGCAGCCCACAATCCAGTGTTTGTTCAACATGACTTCTCTCCTTTAATGTCTACTATTCACATGCCTCTTGTATGTTTTGAAGATGGAGAGCTGTGATGGCCACCCGGAAACTATACCGTTACAATTCCTTTTATCTGTTACCATTATATCATTCACTTCAAAGGGTTCTTTCAAATATTTCCTGCATAACAGTTGGAAAAACAGAGTCATAAAGAGATTAAGGGTGTTCAACAAGGCTGTGGCAGAACTGGGAACAGTGCCACTGCTGAGTGACTGGCTCTGCTTAAGCAATTGCATCACATTTGATGTGCTTTCAACTCTTCAAACACCTTCACACCTTTGAGTCACACAACAATTCTGCAAGGTGAGTAAAACAAGTCTTCTGACATCCACGTTAAAGATGAAGAAGCTGAAGTACAGAGGTAGAGCAAAGTTCATATATCCACTGTGCTAATTTGTATTGTGTAGACCTCAGGTCTTCTGACTTCACTCCCAAGCAATCTCCACTTATCCACACTTGGCCAAGTCATAGTTGATCTAGCACCATTTACTAGGCTATTCTATGATGACTTACCACTGGCATGGGTCCTATCTAGACCTGAGACATCCAATGTGATATCCAGTAGCTGCTAGCTACAAGTGACTATTGAGCATTCGAAATGTAGTTATCCAATTTGAGATGTGTTGTACGTGTAAAATGCACAATGGATTTTGAAGACTTGGTATGTGATAAATAGAACTAAATATATTAATAATTTTCATTTTTATTCTGTGTTGAAATGTTATTTCAACAAATCAAGTATTTTAAGTTAATTTTACCTGTTTCTTTTTTACTTTCTTAAATATGACTACTTGAAAATATAAAGTTAAATAAATGGTCCCATATTTCACTGCTTTAGATTTTATCTCAAGCAATGCAGAAAAGAGTCCTCTATGAACATCCATGCGACAATCTCAATTTGAACATTTCCAGGTACAGAAGAGTATTTAAGAAGCAGTTGATTCCGTTTTGGGATGACTCAAAATAAAATTTATTTTCCACTGAATGAAAATTTTAGGGAAAGGAGAAGAAATAGATTATAAAGTATATATTCTCAGGAGAAGGGCTTGTGTTTGATGAATGGTAGCCTTGGTCTTACAAAAGCACAACTGAAAAATAACTTTTCAAATTTCCACTCAACACAAAACCATGTCTTAAATAATAATCCCACAAAACAACTAGATGAAAACATAAGATCTTTTTTAAGGACACAAAACTCAGAAGTCATACTAGAAAAGTTTATAATATATATATATATATATATATATATATACACACACATACACACACATACATACACACACACATGCATACATACATATATATCTCCACATAAATATAGGCAAATATAGTCAACTGATTGTTGTTAATAAGGAACAAATGCAATACAATGAAGAAAAGGTCATCTTTTTAACAAATGATGAAACAACTATACATCCACGTGCAAAAAAAATGAATCTAGACACAGACTTATACTCTTCACAAAAATTATTTTAAATTGGATTATAGACCTAAATATAAAGCTCAGAACTATAAAACTCTTAGATAATTGCATGGGAGAAAATCCTGATTGTTGCATCAGCAACTCCACAGTGATTAAAAAAAAAAAGAAATGGGAGTCGTGGAACAGGCTATGGATGCAGGATGGATGCAGGATGCTGTTCAAGAGCAAGGTCCTGGCCTTTTTATTGACATCTGATAAAGCACTGTTACCAAAATATACAAAGAAAGCTTAAAACTCAGCCACAAGAAAATAACTAACTAAATTTAAAAGTGAGACTAAAGTCTTAAAAGATACTTCATCAAAGAAGATACTCACATGGCAAATGAACATGTGAAAAGATGTTCCACACCATATGTCATCAGGACAATGCAAATTAAAGTAATGAGATACTAATACACACCTATTTGAATGGCCAAAATCTAAAACAAGACAATACCACAGGCTTACAGGAATGCGGAGCAACAGGAACCCTTATTTACAGCTGGTGGGAATGCCAAATGATGCAATCACTTTGGAATACAGGCTTGCCATACAATCCAGCAAACACACACATAGTATTTACCCAAATGAGCTGAAAACTTACATCCACACAAAAACTTACACAAATGTTTATAGCAGTTTTATTCCCATATCTGTCAAAACTTGGCAGTAACTAAGATGCTCCATAAGTAGGCTAACAGATAAATAAGCTGTTGCATCCATATAATGGAATACTATTCACCACTTAAAAGAACTGAGCTGTCAAGCCATAAAATGACATAGAGGGTCCTCAAATATTTATTATGAAGTGAAATAAACCTTTGTAAAAGGGCGATATATTATATGATTTCAACTCTATGTCATTCTAGAAAAGGCTGAACAATGAAATAGTGAAAGAAATTAGGTAGTGAAAAGGACAAATGTGTACAGCACAGAAGAATTTTAGGACAACAAAACTATTCTGTATGATACTATGATTGTATTGATAGATACATTTGTCAAAACCACTAGGATGTTCAATTCCAATACAACAGAATAAAAACAAGGTCTTCATCCACATAGCTTTGTTTGTACACAGAATAGTTCTAAAAATTCCTATCAAAAACATAAGAACAGGCCTTTTAAGGAAGACTTGAGCTTGTGCGCATGCACAGGGAGGAGCTAGCCGGCTAGAGTTTTGAGCATGTTCTTGGGTGCAATAGGTTTAGGTCTCACTCCATGTCTGAAAGGATGTCAGCAACAACTATGAGGACTGAAGAAAGAACACCATCCCACACCTCCTCTCCAGAATCACCCTCCAGCTAGGCTCACCCCTCACCTTCTCTAGAGGACTGAACTATGAGGACTGAAGAAAGAACACCATCCCACACTTCCTTTCCAGAATCATCGTCCAGCTAGGCTCACCCCTCACCTTCTTTAGAGGAAGGTGGATGGCAGGCAGTCAGGCCCCAGAGCTAAGCTACAGGCAAGACAATAGCCTCCCCCCTCCCCTCCAGCAAATGTGACATGACTCCCACAGAAGGGCAGGCCCATATTCAAAGATCCTCTCCCCCAGCCACATGTGCCAACGTCAGGCAGGGAGTATGTGGTTCTCTGACGGCTGACATGCAGAGAAGACACCTATAAGGTTGGTGCCCATTTGGGAACCCAAACAACTGAATGATGAGTGTCCAGGCAGGAGAATCTGCTTTTACCATCTGAGTTGGTCACTAACGGTTGTACCAAAAGCCTTTCGAGGCTGTACAAAGTTTTCAAAATGATTTGGTTCTCAAAAGAACCTAGCTCAGTGACTTCTATAAAACATACCCTCATATACATCTTTACCTCCCCATGAAATCTGTTTTCTCCACTCCATAGGCAGGAAGGACAGTGTGGTCATCTAGTTTTCTGATTTATGAACAGGGATTCTAAGGTGTCTGGATTGGTTTGCTATTACTCTGCGGACACTTATCACCAGCTGCTATGACCAGTAGAAATTCAGGAACTATAATCACAAGGACAGAGGTCAGGAATACATGCTAAACAATCATCCGGATTCACTAATATTTTGAGAGAAAAATTCCTGTTTTCCTAGGAGGGAAAAAAATCAAAGCATTGTTTTTAATGATTTCATTATAGGAGACATAGTTTAGGAGTTGCTTACAAGCAATTTACCCATAAACATGTAACCTAATGGCTCTCAATTTGTCTCCTCATCCTCAAAGTGAGAATAATGAATTCTGTAGGATGGTGATAAGGACTAAATGAGATAATACATGTGAAAGCACCTAGTACTTTGTAAGTCACTGAATTTAATTTCCTCTTCCCTTAGAAGTGTACATATTCAGGGCCTCACCTGGGCTGCCTGCAGCCTCTGCAGTGCTGGTTCGTTCCCGGCCACTGGCGAGGGTCCCACCAAAAAAAAAAAAAAAAGAAGTGTAGCTATTCAGTAGATATTCAGTACAACAATTTGCATACAGAAAATAAGTGATGCCTTCTCAATTTACTGGGAGACTTCACAAGCTTCCCATGCTGTCTTCCTATTTCAGCTGTCCTCTAACATAGGAACTTTCTTTTAATGTTACCTGGAAGGTATCAGCATAGAGGGTCACCATGTATGATGCAAGGGGACAGGGCATGAGGCAGAAGGTAAAAGGTGGGGGTGGGGGGGATTTCAATCCTTTTCCAGTTCTGAGCATGAAAGGAACCAGTTAACTGCACCATAGGAAAGGGTCTGATTTCTAATTTTTCAAAAACTATTTGCCTTTTTACTCCAACCACACTAGATCTCCAATCTCATTTCCAGGAATAGCTTTTTCTCCTGGTTGTATGCACAGGAAACATGGCAACAAAGAAGAGCCTCAATAATACAGCTAATGCCCAGGTAATGGTGAGTAGATCATGAGCTTTGACTCTTTTAGTTCTCTCAACAATCCTGACATAGGTACTACCATTCCCCCACTGGGAGGAACAATCCTGACGTAGGTACTACTATTCCCATGAGGATGTTGAAGCACAGAAATGTTGATTTTCTGGTTATAGAGCCAATATGGTGGATAGAGAATTAACGAAATCTATGGGCTTAATCTCTAGGATTAACTGTCTTCAAGAGACCTGAAACACTGCCAGTCTGAAGGTGGGAAGAGGAGGAGGTCAGTGTTTGAGGTCAGGAAGGAAACACACACCTTAATTCCCCTCACAATCCTGCCTTTATTGTAAGGCTATTTATTAATTCCACCTCTGCCCAGTCCGATAAACTATTTACTCTCCCTGAATCCTTGATCCCTTAACTTTAGTTAAGGTTTTGTTTTTAGGTGTTTGAGCTAGATCTACTTTTCCCAGATACTGTCACCACTTCTGCTCCTTGACCTTTGCCTTTCCCAACTCACTTTTCTCCACCCACCTTCCAAGTTCCTAACTCTTCATTCTGCTCCAAGGTAATGGGTCTGTTCACTCTCTCCTCTTCACCTCAGGATTCTTGGGTCTTTTTAACATTCTCTCTGAAGTCCCTGTGCTTGGAAAAGCCTTTCCCCTACTCTCTGCCTTTCAAGATAAAAGTGAATCCCAGTGCTGTGGGATTCTTCCACTGATCCTTCCACTGAACCTTGCCACTCTGGATTTCTATGGTCTGCATCCCTGGTGACACACCTTCAGTAAATATCCGCTGAGTATCTTCTCTATTTGGAAATATCCCATCTCACCTAACACAATGCTTTATATACAGTAGACACTGGATATGCTGTGGCTAATATTGATGTTCTAATCAAGCATGTCAGCTACGGCCACTAAATCCTCTCTGTCCCCTTGGAGTCAATTAAAGATCCACTATTATATTCACATCCATAAACTCCATTGCTACAGGTGATCTTTCTTGAGGCCGGCAAAAAATCAAACTGCATTGTGCATACAATGGGGGAAGAGTTATTTCTCACACAGAGATAAAGGAGAAAGAACTATCCCATATTGAAAAGAAAGAGGCAGTGAAAATGGAGGTGATTAGGAGGGAAAGTTGGAGGACTGAATTTGGGTCAATCTTAAAAGCAAACTAACAAGCCTATCCCAAGGCCTATTTTAAAAGAGAAGTTAAATACAAATTCTGAGTATGGAACAAAAAAGCATATCAATAAAATTAATGTTATTTAAATTCCTGCAGCATGTTGTAAGATTTTAGAATCACACCCATTTTTCATTTGCTTTTATTTACTTTCAGATTCACAAATATGTATTTGTACAACCCTGGAAGGAAAAAAGAAGTCAGGGTTATATTCATCTGTGTTATTTTGTTTGTTTTTGCTAATCATATATAACTAAAAAGGGTTTTCATTTTTGATTCAAAATAAGTCAAGACAATTGAAAGTGAAGTCAACCACTGCTTTCCAAACGCACAAGACCATCGCTAACTCACCAAAGTAAGGAAGCAATAATAATTCCTTCTCTTTATAGAATGCCTTTTCTTTCTGGGAAACTTCAAAGCTCTCTGCTGACGCTTGGGCTCTGCAGTTGCCAGGAAAGAAATGTGGCTCCACTTACCTCAAAGGGAATGTTAGAAGCACATGGGGGACCAGCTAACCCACAGCCAGCATGCCCACTGCCTCCTCCTCCACCCAGTGCTCTGGTTTGGAGACAAGCAAATAGAAGTGTCAACAGTAGGACCAAACTGCTCACATCCCTTCCATCTACCCAGACTAGCATCCTAGTGATAGGAAAGACCAGATGCAATATGGTGACTTCAGTAAATCATGCCAGTTGTCAGATGGAGAGTAGAACAGGCACAGTCAGTCATGCAGCTCTTGACAGATGGAAATCAGTCTTGGACTAATGCTACTGATGTTCCCAGTTCTGATATTAACCAAAAACTCTATTACCGGTGGTATCTCCTGTATCTCCTTTCATCCTCCTCTCTGTCCCCATAGATAAAAAAGAGTAACTGTTATTTACTGAACACCCAATACATGCAAGGCGTGTCAGTGTTGTGAATCCGTATAGCCATCTAAAGCCAAAGATACCACTCCCCATGTATTACAAATGTTGACTTGAAGCTTCTGCAATCTTCCATTTGCCCTGGGGGAAATAACCACCTGCAAGGGCATCTGTGCCTTGCAGACACAGGTCACACTGACTTCAACTCAGTTATCAGCCATGCACCTTTATCCAACTTCATGGGTCCAATGAGCATCTGCTTCTTCAGTACAAGTAGTAGACACAGAGTATCATCCAGACTCCATTTCTGGCTCTAGTCCCTACATTTCTGATAGTGCCCTCAGCTAAACATCTAAGAGAATGAGGTAAATTTGAAAATACAATCAGTCCTCTGCTGATGAGGCAGCTGAGTGCAGTTGCAGGAGGGACCTCAGGAGAAAGAAAGCAAAGGATATATTCACCACCATTTAACAGATAAGGAGAAACACTTCAAAAGATTCATGATTCAACTGTTTGTGATTTTTATTTTTATTTTTTATTTTCATTCCTAGGAGAGTTTATGATCAGGAAAAAAAAAAAAAGAAATAAACTTCCCTAATGTGTTCGAAAAAGAAAAAAAGATGAGGAGACAGATTTGCAGAGATTGTCCCTCTTGCTCAAGAACACGCAGCTAGTTGCTGAGTCGAGTCAGGATTTGAACTTGAATCTATCTGCTCCCATTGCACATGCTCTTTGCATAGCCACCCACTCAACACTATTCTCTTTTAGGTTCTCTTTTGGGCACATGCACAGAGCAAGTGTGTGCATAATTAAGCATTAATTTTAGTATTAGCCTCTAAGTTTATGGAATGCAGCTTTTGATGATTTTTAAACAAGAGTTGTTTCAGGAGTGATGTGATCCTTCTAGAGGGATGATGATATAATCTTCTCTCCAGGGAGCGTCTAGACCTCAGCCTCCTTACTCGGTGTGGACCATCAGAAGTACCCTGAGCCACCCTTGAGTCATCCTCAATCTCAGGACAGAGAGGCTCAGAGGTAGTATTTGCTGCTTCATATTGTTTGTGAAGGTGAACATAGCTTGTGGATAGAAATAAATTAAGTCTATAGGTTTTATTTCTATCTTTAGTGGGACTAAGATAACCCTTGAAGAGGTCTGTCATCAGTGTAAATTCCAGAAGCATGGCCAGCCACAGGGAAATTGTGAGCAGTGTTGGACTTTTTGTCAAATTTGCATGGTCTAATCCTGTAGATGGAACAGTTACCCATTGTTCTAAGAAGGGAGAGCTCAACTCCATATTGGAATTTGCAGAAAAATGTTGGAAAGCAATTAGCTTCTGGTGATGGGTGCATTATACAAATGTCAAAGAGTGAGCAAGATGATTTCCAGTGTTTGGAGAGAAGATGAAGGGGAAAATGAGAAAGATACAGGCACAAATACACAGATGGAAACACACAAGTATGTGACTTAAAAATATGCAGTAGCCTGCATTACCTGGAGAAAGGGAATTGATGGCAGAAATCAGGAATTGATCAGTTCTTGGTTCTGTTGAGAAAATACTCCCTTTTCTTTAAGAATTAAAAAAAAGCCCTGGTGGTGCAAGGGGTTAAGACGCAACCCATGAAGCTATCTGCAGCCACTGCAGCACGAGTTCAATCCCCAGGCAGGGAGGTGACCCACATGGCAGCAGACCTCTCCTGCCTCACCCGCTGCTCCCCTCAGCAGTGTATTTCAGTTGATCTTTAAAAAAGAAGAATTTAAAACAAAAAGCTAGCACAGGCCCCTCACTGTTTTTGGAAGACCAGTGATTTGGGAAGAGAATGATGTTCCGCACTGATTCTCATTTAAATGTCTCTACACAGGGCACTCCAATGCCCGTACATTCTGAGAAAGCCTTCACGGACAAGGCAGCATCTGGTTGTTTGCAGCTTGTCCCCATGTTACAAACAACTCCCAGGTGAAGGTCCCAGTGACTCTCTTTGGCCCTGATGACAGACTCAAGATGAGAACAGCAAGATGCCTATCCTCCTTCACTTTCACATGGGACCATGAAGCTTCACTAGAGAAATCACAGTATCCAGAACATGAGCAAGTCAGTAACTATTAGAAAAGGATGAAATCTGGAAATCAAGTGAGAACACCAGGGCCCTGATTTCAGCTCTATGATTCTATGTTGGTGACTTCAGCTGTGGTGAGTCAGGGCAAACAATGCTGTTAACTCCTACCCCAAACCAGCCATGTGTTTAACACATAGCTCTCCACAAACATGGAAGTCCCTCTTGTCCCCATTTTGTACACAAGAAAATTGAGACTCTGTAAACACATATGAGGGGTAAATGATATCAGGCTTTTCTCCTGCCATTAGGATTAATGATGAAACCCTGCGGTCCTGAATGTATGCCTTATGGCGGGCACCTGGAGTAGGGTGTAGGCATATATAGATGGGTACGTCTGGGCTGAGACTGGGCTTATAAGGGCAGTG